TCCCTTTTCAGGGCTGGGTGACCTCCCGCTGTGCCATCTGTGCAGGTGGTTCTGAACACCCAGTATCCCAGCATCCCCAGGATGGACACGGTGTGTGCGCCCGTCTGGAGTCGCCTGTGGGGCTCGCCAAGGCTCCCGTGGCGGGAGGTGCCCCCTCGGGCTCTGCACTTCGTTTGTGCGCTCACTCAGGGCCCTTCGCCCCCATGGAGACCTCGCTCAAGGGTGAGGGCACCAGAACTGGCCCCTCTTGTTTCTCCTCCAGCATCTCCCTACCGTGTCAACAGGAAACTAGAAATTGCAGCATTTGTAAAAGTCGAGGGAGTCGTGAGCCTCAGGGAGGTACTGTGGCCTTTTTCCTAACTCCCTCAAAAGATGGAGCTCCCACCTCTCCAAGCCGGCCACAGGGTGCTCTGAGAGAGCCACTGGTAGAGGTCGGGGCGCCTGCCAGGCAGGGGACTGGCTGAGCCACCCTCCATGTTGTCTGAGCAGACTGAGCTAGAAAGAGCCAGAGAGCAATGTCTGGGCCGAGGGGGGCGCCCGGGCTGGGGGCCCTGTGAGCCCACAGAGGTGGGGGACCACCAGGTACATAAGGAGACTCTGCCCTGTCCCTTCTGCCAGCCCCAGGGGTTGGGGGACGTGGTGGGGCGGGGAGTGAGACCCACCCCTTCCTGGGGACTCCAGGCCGGAGCTGAGCCCAGCAGAGGAGCCTGCACCGGCAGCAAACCGCCAACTGGTCCAGACTGAGCTGGGGTCCTGGGAGCCGACCCGGGAGTGACGTTTGAGAGGACAGAAAAGAGGGCTTGAAGGAGGCGCAGCTGGAGGCAGGAATTGAAAAATTCAAAAAGCCATTTTGTATTCATACCTCCCTGGGTCCAAATGCTTGTCCAGAGTTAAAAGCACAGAACTCTCCAAGGAGAGAGGAAAGAGCAGAGGGTGGAGATGCTGTGGAAGGACTGGGGGCAGCGGAGGGGAGGAGGGGGGAGGACGGGGTGGGGTTAGGGGAGGGTCCTGGAGCTCCTCCTGGGCCAGCGGAGGGGCAGAGCTGCTTAGGGTGGGAAACTTGGAATGTTGTAGGAATATGTAGAGAGGTGGGGGCCATCAGGCCATGGAAGGTGAAGAAGAGCTCCCAGGAGGGAGGGGACAGAGACCGTCTGAGAGTAGAGACGGATGTGAGGAGTAAACACAAAGGAAATGAAGAGACCCCGATGGAATGTTCCAGCCCTTAGAGTAGAGCAGGCGGCCACACCGCACGCGATCTGACCTCTGTGTGGTTTCCAGGAGGTGCCCGTGAAGCAGCGGGATGACCAGGGCGGGAGGTAATCGGGTGCACAGACAGCGGCACACACAGCTAAGGCTGGGCCGGCCACGTGAACATCGGGGAAGCCAGCCTTTAGGGCTGAAACAGGCAGCGCGAAGGAGACAGGCAAAAACGGTAAGATCGGTCGTAAACCTGCACGAGCAAAGAGAAGTGTGGTTAAATACACGAAGTGGAGGTGCTGGCCTGTCAGGGGGGCTGGACAGAGACACGCTTACAGTGAGATTTTAACACACATCCCAGAGTTGGACCAAGGAAATAAAAAGGAATGGCACTGACGTGTGATCAGTGCCTTTGATTTAACGGGCGGTGATTCTTACAGCTATAAACAGAAAACACCTCACTCCTGCGTCCCTGGAGCTAGGGAAATGATCTGACCACAAAGAAAACCTGCGCAATAGTACAGACAAGAAGAGGAAGGTGACTTTAACCGCAGTCTGACAAAGCTGGCAGTCAAGACACGTGTGGTGAGCGCAGGACCAGCTGCTTGGAGAGGAAGCACTTCTAGGGAACACTTAGATTCGAGGGGACGTCAAGAAGGGGTTAAACTAGAAACAACTGGAGGGGGAGGGTGCAGCTCAGTGGCACCCACGAGGTCCTGGGTTCAGTCCCCAGCACCTCCGTTAACAAATAAATAAACCCAATTATCTCCCCCCTCAAAAGAAAAAAAAAATTTTAATAAAAACAATTGGAGAGCAGCACAAATAAGGCTGCTTCATTCCCAAAGCCCCAGGGACACAGCAAAACCACATTCAGTGGAAAATAAAAGACTCAAAGGCCTTCAGTCTTGAAGTCGGAAGATGAAAATCAGAGGACCTACTTACTCAGTCCAAGTACCAAGAGAAAGTAGGAAGGTGGAGTCGATGAAAGACAAGAACAGAAATGAAGCAGCCAGAAAACCACATCCCGGCTTCTGTCAGAGGGTGCGTGTGGCTTGGTCCCTGCAAACGCCAGCAGACTGGAGGGCCTGAGCCCACCCTGGCTGGCACTTCCCTTATGAAGGAGGAACGGGACACGGACACTTCAGGCTGGATTCAGACCGGAGACGTGTGTGCGGAGCCAGGGAGATGGAAGCATTCTGAGGAAGCTGTACTCAACACGATGGCCAACGTCTGAAAGCCTGGAGGGACTGGAGGAGATGGAAGGGTGTGGGCCTCCAGGGGAGCCACGGCGGGAGGTGCTGGGTGAGCCCTGGCTCTGCCGCTAACCGGCTCTGTGACCTTAGGCCCGTTACTTAGCCTCTCTGTGCTTCTATCTCCTCATTTATAAAATGGACAGTAGCTCCCCCCTCCCAGGCGGTTGTGAAGATTAAATGAACTCACATCCAGAGACTAAAACAGTGTCTTGATGGGCTCAGAGTTAATAAAATAGTACAAATCTTATAAGGAAATTCGGAGATTAGATGAACCAAGGAGGACTGGGGAGGACCCACCTCATCCACATGGGAACGGAAGAGTTCTAGTTGGCTTTACAGAAACTTGCATACAGTGAAAGAAGCCACTGCTCCAGTGCACGGACAAGGGGCAGATGGAGGAAACCGCCAGTGACCCAGCAGCACAGCTCTTACACCGGGATGTGGCAAACACGGCAGAGCCCAAGCCGCCAGGGGACAGCGCTGGGGCGAGGGTGTCCCGGCCAGCCCGGGGGTCCAGGAAACAGCCGAGAGGTGGCAGCAGCCCGGCCCTGACCGGCTGCGGCCCCGAGGACCACCTCTGCAGGAAGCTGTCAGGTGACACGTACCAGGTCAGAAGAGCAAACGCCCCTGGGAGTCTATTACAAAGACCTAAAGGCACCAGTGGGTTCAAGGAAGCTTCGGGAGCATCAGTAAAAAACCAGAAGCAAGGTGGCTTCCCATGGACCAGAGACAGGATGGCCCCACACACATCACACGTTGTTGATATGAATACTAAACAGCCAGGGGGTGGACGGAGTGGCCCCTGCCCCCTGCTGCCTGGTCAGGGGCGCTGTGCCCCCGCCCTGAGCTGCAGCAGAAGGTGCGGGACGGTGCTTGAGGAGACCCTGTTTTGAAAACAGCCGCCTCCAACAGGTGTCCATGAAATGTCGTGGACATTTCAGCTTTATTGGATATTTTACAAATGCTGGGGAAAACACGGAATGCACACTGGAGTTTTACGGGGTGCTGGGGTAGGGGAGAGGCAGGCCGGGTAAGTGTGAAAGACTGGTCTGAAAAACAGGCATCACACTCATGCAAGTTGGCAGAGTTGTCTCTGTGTGTGCATTGTGCGGAAATAAAACACAAGGATCCTTGCCGTTCGAAGGTAAACAGACTCCGTGTGTGATGGGGTGCACACGATGCGTTTGTCAGTAATCGGGGTGCGGCTTCCCACACTCCGAGGGGCAGGAGCCCGGGCAGCGGGCCCAGGCCTGCCCTCCGCCTGCCCGGCCGTCTCCCTCCAGCAGGCTGGGGGCTCTAGGCGGGGTCCGGGCCAGGCAGAGATGCCCAACTCACCGTGACTTGCACTTTGCTGCAGCCCTTCGTTCCGGGAGACCAGCACAGAGGGAAGGTCGGGGTCGGGGGGACGGTCACCTTCGCAGCATCTTTGGGGAAGCTCCCTCTTGCTCCTTCCGCAGACTCCTCCAGGATGCAAGCCTGCAGCCTCTCGCGTCTCTGCAACTCAGAGGACTAGGGGTGGGCGGACCCCCAGTGCGGCTGGTGGGGGAGGGCACCCAGAGTCCGTGGTGTCACGGGAGGTGTGAGAAGTGGCCAGATAGGTTTTCCACACCTGCCTCCATCCCCAGGGTCCTTTTGCCCGAGCATCTCTGGTTCCCTGGGCAATCACGACAGGGAGGTTCCTGGCAGTCAGTACTGATTCGTGGCCCTCTTCTCTGCTGTTCAACACGAGGGAGACTCATGTATCAGTGAGGCCTCATGTAGAAAGCCCCCAACCCACGGTTCCCCAGGCTTGGAGCTCTTGCCTCGATGGGGCCCTGGCATGTGTGCACAGGGTGCCCCGGACGTGAGGGGACTGGGCCTTTTTGGGGCACAGAGCTGTGTGCACACTCACTCGCACTGCCCTTATGTAACCAGGGAGGTCAGGAGGAAGCCTCTGGCAACGGCCCTTTGGAAATTTGGAAAGTCCACGTGAGGCTGAGGGGATCAGTAGCCCCCACGCCCAGGGCAAACACATGGGTTCCTTCGGAAGGCTGGATCTGAGCCCCACCCAAGCCTCCACAGACGCATTCTTGCATTTCAGAAGAGAACAGAAGCAGACAGCCCAAGGCCCGGCCCCGAGCGGAGGGGAGGGGAGGGCCGAACTGCTACACCCACGGTTGAGTGCTGGTCCCTTCTTGTGACGCAAACTTCCTGGGCAAGGGCTCCCAGGGCCCGGTGGGCGGGGAGAAGGGCCTTAAATGTGTGCCCCCTAGGCTGATACCCATTCCGGGAGCTCCAGCCGCGAGGAGAGCCTGTGTCAAAGGTAATCCTCTCCCCATTCTTCTTTCCCCGCAGGTGGGACTGTGGAGAGGCAGCCTGACTAGAAGCAGGTCCACCTCCGTGGCTGGTCCTCCCATCCCGGGAGGCAAGCATCTTCTCCTGAGACTCCGGGGCTGGGTGCCCAGAGGGTCTGAAGCTCACCCTGGGCCTGGCAGCTCTGCCACCCCCAGCCCCAGGAGGTGGAGGCCCCAGGGATCCTCGGAGCAGGGGGACCGAGGGGACACGGTGGGTGAGAAGCCCTGATCACTGATTCACTCATGTGGAGGCAGCAGACCCCCGTAGCTAAAATCTAGATTGGCAGACAGAGACAGAAGCAGGTTCAAAACCTGACTTTGCTGCCTGCTAACTGTGAGACCAAAGACAGAGCACTGAATGTCTGCTGGCCTCGCTTTCTGCATCTGTAAAATGGACTGGTAACAGTTCCTTCTTCATGGGCACCCCTACAGAGCAAGGATTGTGAGGCTCAGAGGGGATGATGGAGGGGGACCCACCCCTGGGGGCGTCGGGGGGCACAGGTGTGGCAGGCAGGACGCAGGGATGTGGAGGGGGACTGGTCCTGGGAGAGGAAGTCCAGCTGCTTCTGGGGTGTCAGGTGCGGCGTAAGATGCTCTGCAGCTCCATTAATCTTTGCAGTGACCGTGAAGTGATACTGTCAGTAACAGTGCCCACAGTGGAGGCTCTGAGCGCTGAGCTGACTGCCAGCCCTCCCGGTCCCACTCACACCTGGCTCCGCCCTCTGGGCCGCCTGGCCTCGGTGCCCCAGCCTCGCTTTGCTCACACAGGTGGGGGAGGGGAGCGGCACCTCCTGCGGGGCTGTGTGGCTGGGGTCACCGTCAGCAGTGGGCCAAGAGGTCCCAGAGGGCTCCCTCCCACTTCCCGTCAGACTTCAGGAGGGAGTCGCTGCAGCCCAGGCTTGGGGCGCCCTGGATGCCTGCAGGGCCCCTCCTCTCTGTACAGGACATCATCAAGGTGGGGGTGGCCGGGGGTCAGCACCGTGGAGAGGGGAGGCAATGGAAGAGATCAGAGACACCTGCTGGAATTCAGGCAGGATTATCTACACACACACACACACATATACACATGTGTATTAATGGCTGTTTCCATTTTGCAAAAAGTTATGTAAACCACATATATTCTTTGTGCACATATACCATATATTGTATATACCACATATACATATATTTACATACATAGTATCTATATGGTATGTTCAATTTTTTCGCAAAATGGAAATAACCTCACTGTGGTTTTTTCCTGACATCAGAGGTTATGCCTTGTCTGAAAGTGGGTGGAAATCTCTGGAGGACTGTGGGGATTTCTGGGGGAGAAGGGAGGAGGGACACTTACTTTTCCTGTGTCCCTCTTGTATCTTTTATATTTTCTACCAAAAGCATGTATAACATATTCAAAAAGATAACTTTTTTTTAAAATGCAAGCTTATTGCAGAGAAGCCAAGCACTCCACACCCACCAACGGTCACCAGGCTGCGGCCACCCCTCGGGTCTCCTGCGTGAGCGGACACACTGAACGCCTAGTGTGTCTCTTGTCCTGTAACCTGTCTTCTTTCTTATCCCTCGTGCCCAGGACACACCTGGCACAGAAAGAACTTGTAAAGGTGCTGAAACACCTGCCCCGTCTCTCTCCCAGCTACTGTCCGGTCGCCCATCACCGTGCAGCTGACGCACTGAGATCGTTCCTGCTGCCGGCCCTTTAAGACGTTCCCAGCACCGCTGTTACACGCGAACTTGACCAACTTTCTTATTCATGAATGTTTAGGAACGCGTTAGTGTCCATAAGCTCTTGCAGGTGGGCCTACAACGGCACAGAGAAATACGCTTTAAAGGCTTTTGCTCGATGTGGCCAAAGGCCCTCAGCAGAGCCATCCCACTCTGCCAGCCTGCTTTCTTGTTTGGGCAGCAGGAATCCCCTCTGCACCTGCAGGCGGGAAGCTGAGGCTGTGAGTCACCCTGTGTCTCAGTTGTCACGGGCACACACTGGTTCAAAAACCAAGCCCAATTCTGTCTGGGAAGCAACCAGTGCTCGGGGGAGTGACGGCTTAGCCAGAAAGTGGGCACAGGTATTCATTCTGACGCCAGCTTTCCTTTATTTGGCATGGGTGTGGAGCACCACGGGGGCCTGGCGGGTGGCCTGGCTGGCTGTGCAGAGAGCCTGCAGTGCTTGCCTGCGAGCATCCCAGCTTTGCAGGTGGAGGTGGGAAGGGCCGCTGAGTGACGCCGGGGCCTGCCCCGGCACGCTGCCAGGAGCCCACCATCAGGGGCTGTAGACATACTTAGGGCGTCTGTTGTCTGCTCGGGGGTGTCCCGGCGGCTGGAGTCCGGACAACAGGGTTAGGGAGCTGAGAAGGCAAAACAATGCCGTTGCTCGGTGCTCCTGGAGACATCTTCCTCTTCCTATGAAATCGTCACCGCGGAGAGCACTGAGGGTGGGTGCTGCCCGCGGGCCCCCAGGTCTCAGGGGCCGGTGGGCAGCGTGCATCCTCCTCCCCGCTCCAACGAGCTCTCTGTCCCCAGGCACCATGAGCATCAGCGAGGTCGTGCAGCGGGCCAGAGCCGCCTTCAACTCGGGCAAGGCTCGCCCGCTGCAGTTCCGCATCCAGCAGCTGGAGGGGCTGCGGCGCATGATCCGCGAGCGCGAGAAGGACCTCGTGGGCGCGCTGACCGCCGACCTCCACAAGGTGTGGTGAGGGCGCGCGGGGCATCTGTTGCGCGCCTGGGGCTCCGCGCGGCGCTCTTTACCTAGAACCCCTTAGTCCCCCACACACTGCGCACCTCGGGACCCTTCTGTGGAGGGGAAAGCGCAGCCACTGAGCTGGGCGCACTGGCCTCTCCTTGTGCCGCGTGGCGCCCTAGCGCAGAGCCCTCGACCCCTTTCCGCGGTCCGCATCCGCGCTCCTGGGTTCACTCTCTCCTCCGCTCAGCCCCGAGCAGGGGGCCACGGCTTCAGCCATCTCCTGCCAACATGACATCCTGAGCTTCTGGTCCCCCTTCTTCAGCCCCCACACAGCTACCAGGTCCTCCACACCAGGGAACAGCTGGTGCTGCTCTGCAGGGTGTCCCCCCTCCCTCCACATCCATCCCGCTCCCGCTCCCGGAGCAAAATGTGACCCTTCCAAATTCTCAGCCCCTTCCCCTCACTGCCCCCAAGTCGCCTGGAACAGCGTTCGCCCTTCTGTCTGGCCTGGGAGAGGAACAGAGGGGCTGGAGCCCACCCCCTACTGTTTCCTGGCACTTTGCTGTTTTTTTTGTTTGTTTGTTTCTGGTTTTTAAATCTCTCAAGATTTCTCATCTTAAAACAGAAAGGCAAGAAACCCCACTGTTGACCTCACAACTTTTGTCTTCCTCTTTGCAGCCAAAGTTCACGGAAGAGCTGCTTATTCCATTGTCTGCACCTCTCTCCCTGCACCCCCACCCCGGCTCACTGGCTTCCTCCCCGCCGCTGCCCGGGCCCTCCCACTTCTTGCCGAGGGTCTCCTGCGTTTTCTTCTGACTCTCTTTGCTGGCCTCTTTCCTGTACCCACTTCTTCAGGGTGGTCCTCTTAGGGATCTTTCCTGGGTTCAAGTCTCATTTTAATCTATAAGCCTTCCCAGACATCCTCTGTTCCCCTCACTCACTAATGACCCTCACATCACTGCCTGGGTCTGAGACCTGCTCTGGCACCTTGAACTCGACATACCCAACCTGCCTGGGCATCCAGCACTGGTAGAAAGGGGCCACTGCAGACCCACCCCCCAAAGGTTCATCCTCAGCTCTTCCCCCCAAGTACCTTCCCTGGCCCAGCCCCCTGGACTAGGGAGCCCAAGGTGAACGGCTCTGTCCAGTGTGCCCTCCCAGAGCGCTGACGATCTTTGCAGTACAGATCATGCTCCTATTTCACAGATCGGGTGACCGAGGGTTGGAAGCTCATTCAGGGTCACAAAGCTAGGAAGCAGCGAGCCAGGATCCACCGCCAGCCCTGGTGACTCTGCTCGGAGCCCTGGCTGCGCGTCCCTCACTGGGGGCCAGCAAGTCACAGGGAACCCTCTTGCCCTAGAACGAGTGGAACGCCTACTACGAGGAGATTGTGTACGTCCTGGAGGAGATTGACTATGTGATCCAGAAGCTCCCTGAGTGGGCTGCAGACGAGCCCGTGGAGAAGACGCCCCAGACCCAGCAGGATGAGCCCTACATCCACTCGGAGCCCCTGGGCGTGGTGCTTGTTATCGGCGCCTGGAACTACCCCTTCAGCCTCACCATCCAGCCCATGGTGGGCGCCATTGCTGCAGGTACCGTGGGCGCTGTTCCGGAGCAGGGAGCACGAGGGATCACCGTGCCCCACTGCAGGCTGGGGGTCAGGGGCTCAGGCCTGGGAGAAGACAGGGCCTGGGGTCAGGTTTAGGGGGTCTGTCTTTCACAGCAGGCTGCAAGGACCGAAGTGTTTAGCCAGGTGCCTGAGGCCCAGCCGAGCTCACATGTCCACGCAGCCTGCCTGTGTGTCTAGGGCTGGGTTGCTCTCAGCTAAGATGTAGCAGGGCTTCCTTACCAGGCGGGGCAGCTCTGCGCTCCCACCAGCCCCGAGCTCTTCCTCCGCCCCGTCTTCTCCCCTCTTCCCTGCCCATCTCAGCAACGGTGGCTCTTCTGTCCACCCCTCCAAGGACATGGGAGATGGAGGGAGGCCCCAGGCCTTGGTCACTGGGCGGGCAGAGCACTGGGGTGTCCTCTGGAGGAGCCCTGACCCTGTGTGCTTGGCAGGGAACGCGGTGCTCATCAAGCCCTCGGAGCTGAGTGAGAACACGGCGAGCCTGCTGGCCGCCGTCATCCCGCAGTACCTGGACAAGGTGAGATGCGGTGCAGGGCACAGGGAGAGCCGGCTGGGGCCAGGTGAGAAGCAGTGGATTCTTGCAGCCAGGGATGAGGACAGCAGGCCTCTCCTGTTGGTGTGAACGCAGCCCCCAGGCCAGCAGAGGGGGTCCACTGGGTGGCAGCTGTCCGGGTGGTGGGGAGGAGGGGCCATGGCCCTCTCTGAGCCTCACTTCTGTCCTCGCGTGGAAGGATCTGTACGCGGTCATCTGCGGGGGCATCCCCGAGACCACAGAGGTGCTCAAGGAGAGGTTCGACCACATCCTGTGCACCGGGAGCACTGCGGTGGGGAAGATCGTCATGGCGGCCGCGGCCAAGCACCTGACCCCTGTCACGCTGGGGCTCGGGGGGAAGAACCCCTGCTACGTGGACAAGGACTGTGACCTGGACATTGCCTGCAGGTGAGGGGGCTCAGCCCGTCTGCAGCAAGTGGCTGTGCAGGCTGCCTCCCAGCCCGGGGGACCGCGGCTCGCGAGTGACTGACATCTCCTGCCCTCGGGGCACTGCAGTCCTGGGCAGGCCCTGGGGAGGGGGGCCCACATTCACAAAGGGGCACAGGAGAGGCTTCCTGCAGGGAAACGGTCTAGCCAGGCTCTGTCCACTTTCTTTTCTGCAGGGTTTTTTTTTGGTGGGGGGGAGGTAAGGGAATAAGTTTCATTTCTTTATGTTTTTAACAGAGGGCCTGGGGATTGAACCCAGGACCTCACGCATGCTAAGCATGCGCTCTGCCGCTGAGCTGTACCCTCCCCCACTTTCTGTACGCCTTCACATCCCACGTGCGTACGTGGCCTTCTAGGGGGCGAGGACCCCCGAGCACAGTGACACTCGGTGGTACAGGGCTCAAGGGTGCGAAAAGAAGGGTACGAAGGCCGCTTGTGTCCAGGGTTGTGGTCTGCTCAGCACCGAGTCAAGAAACCAGTGGGCGCTCAGGGGACCCCTGCTCCCGGGGGAAAGCTCAGCCCCGGTGTCTCCAGCGCCGGCCCCTTATGCCTTGACCCTGGGCTAACCGAGCGCTTCCCAGGCGTCTCCCGGAGTGCAGCCTCATCTGGGCTCTCCACAGACGCATCGCCTGGGGGAAATTCATGAACAGCGGCCAGACCTGCGTGGGCCCCGACTACATCCTCTGTGACCCCTCCATCCAGAACCAAATCGTGGAGAAGCTCAAAAAGTCCCTGAAAGTAAGTGTTGGCCCCTGGGCTGAATGAGGCTGTAGGGCAGTGAGGTGGGTGCGGACTTCAGAAAATACTGGATTTTTTTTTCTGATTGTAAAAGTAATCCACCCTCACTGTGGATAATTGGGAAAAGATTAAAAATCAGAAAGAAGAGAAAAAGCTCCATCCAGAACCCCACCACCTAAAGACGGTCGCAGCTAACTTGCTGTGCCCCCCGTTTGCCCTCTTGTTTGTCCCGTACACAGCGTCCAGATGGTCGCGCGCGTGTTCCTTTCAGACAAGGCTGTCTCGCAGCCTCCATGTGCCCGGAGGTGGAGGGGTGCCCAGACGTGTGGTGACCCCCACGGGTCTCGCTGTCGCTGTGACGCTGTCCGCCGCTCGGCCGGGCGGTGCCCGCGGGCGCCCCAGGGTCGGCAGGTGGGGGTCGCGGGGCTGCCTCGCAGCCTTGGCCATGACGAGGGGC